ATCAACATGGTCATCTGGGGATTCAGACATCCTGTCCATACCTGGCCACTATTTCTGGTCCTTAAGTGTAAGGAAAAGGCGTAGTTGACAGAATAATGACTCCAATAGAGGTCCATGTCCCAGTCTCCAAAACCTGTATGTTACTCTATTTCACAGGGGTCTTTGTCAATATCATTACATTCAAGATTTTAAAGTAGATTATCCTAGGTACTCTAGTGGCCCCAACATAATCATGAGAGAGAGATTTGAAGATGCTGCAGTGCTAATTTCAGAGATAGAAGAAGGGGCCATCAGCCAAGGAACACTGGCAGCCCCTGGAAGCTGTGAAAGGCAAGGAAACAATTTTTCTTACTGATGTTTTAAATTTCTGACCTTCACAACTACAAGATAATAAATGCGTGTCATTTTTAAACTCATGTGATGGATTAAAAAACCCAGGTAATGTTGCAGCAGCAATAAGAGGTGAGTGGATACAGAAGACTTTCCTGGCTGGAGTGGGAAGAAGCAGACTGGTAGTCTGTTGCTTCAGATCTTATGTCCAAAGAGGACCTCTGTGTCTACAACAGCTGTATGAGTGACAGCTTTCATTCGTGTTCAGTCAAATTTAAGATAAAAAATGTTTAAGGGAATAAGAACCATTGTCTTAAGATTTCTTTGTTAAAGAATATATGAAAGTTTGGTAATTTATATAATTGTCATGATTTTGAACTTTTGAACTACTATAGTGTTGGCTTATAATGCCAATTTAAAACATGTCACTGAGTACTTGACATTTGAAATTTTAACTTAAAACCATATTAAATTGATTTTTCTATTCTGAGATCATCAAAAGAAATTTAAGGTCACCGATTTATAGAATATTTTTGAAATAAGAAAAAGAAACACTCAGAAGGGTTTGCTTAAGTCAGACAACTGAAGATCTGAAGAAAATAAATCTCATGGAATGATGTCTAAAATATTTGAAGACTTTTTGGCAGATGGATCAAAAACCTTTTCAAAAATTAAAAAGTAATTGCTAAAAAGTAGGTTGATAAATAAATGAAATAATAGGATATGTAAATTAAACTCCAAAGCTTAAGAACTAGGTTTTTAAACTAGTAAATGTAATAAATTGAATATTATTTTTGTTTTCTACTCACTAATACACACACGCCTTCAGCCTAAATCCTAACAAAGTGTAAGGACACAAGCTACATGGAAATGTGTGCACTTCATTCAAGTTGCATTTTATCTTCCCATTGTAATTGGGTGTTCTCTTTTCAACACTTTAAATATTTGGTCATTTGTCTTTATCAGATTGTCATCTTGAGTTACAAAACTAACTGGATCACCTGCTGAACAGATAAAACATGTGCCCATGTTTTAGGACTCCAGCAAGACGGCTTTCAGGTTTTTGGAGAAAATTGATATTTGATTTATTTTTAAAAAGCAGCCTTCATGGAAATAACCTGAATTCATGTTCTGGAGCTATTTTTAATTTTGAGGTGGGAGGTGCGTAACATACTCTTTTCAGGGCTTAGGAACTTAAAGCTATTGTCCACACTGTGCAAAATCACCTCTGCAACAAGCAGACACAAATTGCTGGCTGAATAGCACCAGGGCCATCAGATTAAAACATCAGAGCAGGACCTCTCCCGCCATCTGTTGGTGACAGGTATGGAGTTTCCCATGCCCACTGCAGTGGTGGCAGTTCTTATGGTGACTCGCAGGCTTGTCCCTAGCGAAGGAAGCTTATAAAGAAGGGATATCTGACCACCCCACAGTAACATGTCCACCCCACAGCACCACTGCCTCTTTCTCTTCCCTGCTTTATTTCTCTCTCCGGTACCTCGCACTATCTGAAGCTCTAGGTCTTACTAGTCATTACCTTTGTATCAATCAGAAGAGAAAGAAAAAATCACCCTAAAGCAAAGGTCCCAAGAGCGCATGAAAGCTTAGGTGTGGGAACACTTTGGGAACTCAGGGAGAGACATGCCAAGTGGTTTGCTTTGTTTATTTGCTTATTTCCTCTGTCATCTGACACCACCAAAATGTGAGTTCTGAAGAGATTTTTTTCTAGGTTTTGTTTACTGCTTGTGGCAGAAGCAGCTGGTGGACCTGGTCGCCTGCCTTCCCTTTTTCCTTTCAGTAATGAAGCATCACCTCCCCACAGCATGAGCTGGGAAGCATGGTTCCCAACTGGAGCATGTTCCAGCCTTTTCACCTACACAACAGCCAGTAAGTTGTGAATAAAATCTATTCAACTCCCAGTCTTGCCTTAAAATGATTACCCCACCCCTACATGGCAAGAATGAGCTATAAATAAGAACAAGACCTTTGAGAAGAGCCAAGTCACAAAACTCAAGGTACCTTAGTCACTCACCAGGTCCGCGCGGCTCACCGACCTCGGCACTGCAGATGGGAATAAAGGCCCATCTCCTTTCGGGTCCTTGCTCCAGTCTCTGTTGAAGCCCGAACCCCCAGTGTTACTGCATTTGGAGATACGACTGATAAGGAAGTAATCAAGGTTAAACGAGGTCAGAAATATGAGGTCTTCGTCTAATAGGACTGGTATCCTTTAAGATGAGACACCAGGTCTCTCCCTCAGCTTGCACTAAAGAAAAGGGCCCCTTTGATGACAAAAAAGGGCCCCTCTATAAGCCAAAAGCAAAGGCTTTGCCTGACACTTAGACTTCCAGTTTCCAGAATGGCAAAATAATAAGTTTCAGGTGTTTGAGCCACGTGGCCTGTGGTATTTTCTTACGGCAGCCCTGGCTGACCAATACTTAGCCTATACCTAACACACTACTGCACCCACAGGGTCCAGAATAGGGCTGGGGAATTAGTAGATGTGCCAAAAAATATTATTTGGTTAAGTAGATAAATGAATAGAAATACAAAGACAATATTTGATTTGTACATACTGTGAACATGTGAAGGATTAATGAACGGTGATAGATCCTGTCTGTTCATCCATCTACATATTCATCTTCTCCCACCCTGGTTGTATTCATCAGCAAATGACACCTCATCTTTGATCTCTCACCAGTGACTTCTCTCCCATAGTCTACTCCAAATCAATATTAGTCTCATTATTTTCTGCCAATTTAGTGGTCAAATCTCTAGTCCAGATTCTATTATCTCTTGCTTACTTTAATTATTTCCAAATCATTTTCTTTCCAGTTTCTGGACTTGTACCAGTTTCCATGACTTCAATTCACTCTCTCAAAATTCATTTTGACTTTTTCCCCAGGAAAGAGCCCTCATTTGATTCAGATGGGCAATGCACTGTGTAAACAGTCCATTTCCCTGTTTCTGCAGCTTCAGTGTAGTCATCTGACTTAATTTTGAGTGAGGAGATACATCTGGAGCTTGTTAGGAAACTCTCTTTAAAAGGATACATAGCTGGGGACATGCCCACTTTTCCATCGTTCTCCACCCCCTTTTTTTCATATTGCCTGAAATTTGGGAGTGACTGCTGGAGCTCCAGCAGCTATGTTGAAATATGGAGATTGAGCAGAAAAGGAGATAAAGAACTGCCACGCCAGCCTTGGCTTGCCTATCTCCAGCTTTCATGTAACAGATAAACACACATTTTAATGCGTAAGCCATTGCAGTCAGCTCTCTACAGTTAGCAGTTGAATACAACTGCTACTTGTTACAGGAATCACGTCCTCACTGCTATCGCCTTACATTTACTAACACACATTTTGAGGGTAGTGATTTTTTCATCAATGGTGCAGGATTTAAAGGGTCTTCAGAAGACACTTAATCCCACAGGGTAGATGGAAGAACTATCAGTAGCCTCATTTTACAGATGAAGAAACTAAGACTCCTGATCACATGGTTATCAGATGTTAGAAAAAGGACTAAACCCAGGTTTCACATGATGCTAAGGCACAACCAGGAGTGGGGCTACTGTGTGAGCCATGAAGTACGGGAACTTTACACATCAGGCATGTGCACACACATGCACACACATCTGCTGCTTTTGTCTGTTTGCAGACCATCTACTCTTTTGTGATAACAAAGCCCTTTTCTCCTGGGACCTGTCCCTCTTCTGACTGAAGCTTTTAATCACTTGACTGTAGGGGAGCACCTGATCCCAGTCTCTTTTCAGTTTAATTAGCCCAGAAGTGGCCATCTAACAATATTGGGCCAGAGTTCCCTTGGGGACTGCCACTTATTCACTGTATATGAACTTGGGCATATTTGCATTTTGATGTCTATCTCCTTTTCCATAAAGTGACAGCAAACCTACTGCCCACTCTATTTGGTGATAGTGAGGATGAGACAAGACAATGTAAGGGCTTGGCAAGGGGTGGCTGCCCACTTTTTGCTCGCTGCTTATTAGACTTCTTTGGAAAACTCTCCTTTTTCTGGACACCATCAGTATATGGAGTGGAAACCATGGTTACATAAAATAAACATGCTCCTACAACCCACTTAAACCTCCTCTTTTTTTTTAAAGTATTTATGCATACAAGAACTGGGGTACAGACCAGAGGTGTGGGGGGTAAGAGGATTCACCAGAGACAGAGTGGGGAGCACAACAGGCAGATTGGCTGAAATACACTGCTGAGGGGAGCAGAGGGTGAGTCAGAAGAAGTCTGCTGCACCATATAGGTCAGCTCCCTGGCCAGGATTGAACTCTTGCTGCAGAGGCTGCGGATAGCTTCATAGTGCTGCGTCTTAACTCCTTGTGCCACCAGGGAGGCCCCAAATCTCGTTAGTTGCCCAACTGTTTTTCATCCCAGACAAGAGGTTTTACGGCCCTGATTTCTCAAAGGACCGCTTTCCCTGATTTTTTTTTTGAAGAGTCAGAGACAGAGCTGGAGGGGAGCAGTCCCCCATCCGTCATCGCTTCGCCTGGAATGGCAATCACCCATCCTCAGGAATGGCAATCATCACCCAGGGCATTAAGAAAATCTGCCTTTCTTTTCAACCCCGCAATCTTAAAATTTAGAGACATTTCTCATTACAACTTGAATCAAGAGTCAAGAAACACAAAAGTTTGGATGTGGTCATGATATTTATTCATAGTATATTTTCACAAGGTATTAATAATGGAGAATAACACTTATTCATACACTGAGTATATTTTCTCCTGGAGCACTCTGGAGTTTGTTTGGGGTTGGAGAATACTGCCAGGTTTTTCCTAATCTCTTTGGTTTTTGGAAGTGGTCAAGGGTTCTCAAACCTAGGGTCTGCCACGGGCTGTTGGTGATGGTTTCCCTTCTGTTAAGTTCTAAGGGCGGAAAGACCATGGCTTCGGCATTTCCATTGTGGAAAGAAGTAACAAAGGGTAGATTAATGGGAGATCAGAAAGACTGAGGCATCTTGCCCTCCATAGCTCATTTCTTCTCACAAAAGCCAATTTCTGCAGCAACTATCCACACTGGTAGGGGCTGAGGTTCACAGCCTGAGGAGAAATCCTGTCACCAGGCAACGTTTTCATGCCAAAGGCAATCCTGAAGGTCAAGAACCTGGATCTGAACTTCCCAGGGTGAGCGGGGGGTGTTGAAGCTCACCCCGTCCTGTGCTCCCCTCACTTGCAGATGGTGGATTAGGACACACTTGTTGAACATCTTGGCAAGACGGTAAGAGGATCTCACTTTTCCATGTCACTCTGTAACAATGCTGCTTGGGGTATGGGGAGGGGAGCGTCTCCATTTAACCAGAAGACCAAGGCACCATGAACGGAAGCGAAGAACATTAGCAACAACAAGAAAGGCAGAGTCCAGCTCTCTCACAAAAGACGCATGTCCAAAAACAAGGGTCAATAGCTGGTCTTCTTTTATCCAAGTGATTCTGTCCACTGGAAGTTGTACTTCTATTGTTCCCTTTTATTAAAAATGTTTATATTTCTGAGTCTGAAGAAGATTACTTAAATACACAGGATATTAGCACCAAGGCAGCACATTTTTTTCCCAGAGATTGCATGAAACTGAATACTTAACATGATGAATAGCTGGTACAATCTGTGACATCACTAAGTTACTTATTGGCTAATGATACATAACTAGAAATATCCTTATAAGACATGTGTAGCACCTTAGTGGCTATTGTTTTAAAAAAAATACAATTTAAAAAAAGTAACAATGAAACATTTACAGGCAAAAAGTAAACGATAGTGTACCGTGATAATGAAGGATCACTTTTGTCGGAGGACTACATATAATGTAGAGTACGTAAAATGCAGTGGTCTGACTGCAAGGGACAAAATAATGCAAAAGGCAGTCATAATAGATAGGCAGTCATAATGCATAATCATTTTACGTACAAAAATATTACATCACAATAAATAATTTCAAACATAAATATTAAACTTTACATCATTAGGATATTCCATATATATACACACATATATATACACACATACGTGCATGTGTGCATATATATGCATATGTACACACACACACTCACACACACAAGCACACAAGTACTCACATACACACACAGGCACCCAAATTTAAGGTGGAGGTATTGCATTACTATCCTTCATCCATCCCATAATGGCTTCCTCTTCAGAGCACCTGAAAACAAACAAATCAACCAAGAAACATAAACCTTCTCTCTCAAATGCCATGAGTCACGAGTAGATAGACCATAAATGTTTATGTATAGAATTTTAAGACAACAAATTATTTTCTGTAGATTTTAGAAGTAATAACATGTTTGCTATAAGGGACATGGAAATTTCAGGGGAGTATAAGGTAACAAAAGACCCTAGCCTAAAATCCCTCACCTGAGATAATGTTCTTCAAACATTGGCATATTTCCTTCTTGTCTTTATCTATAAATATATGTGAAATTATATATAGGTGCTCATGTAAATTCTACTACACATAAAATAGTTTCACTATACATATAAAAATACAAAAATATGAAACATATTAAATACATAGAATATGGAGATCTCTAGTTGATACCTGCTGACTTTCCTGCCTCCATCCTGTTCCCATCCCCTTTTCTGATAACAAACCCCTTTATGTCTTTCGGCAACTGTCCCTCTTCTAAATGAAGCTGTTAATCACCTGACTCTAGACGGGCACATGATCTCAGTCTCCTAGGCCTTGGGATTGGTTAGAAGTGACCATGTGACTCAGGCTGAGTCAGAGTTCTTGTGCAGAGTGGATGCCGGAAGTGAGCTTTATTTGGGATCATGAGCTGTAAGGATGATATAAAGGACAGTGGTGTGGGGAGATAATCTTGGCTGAGAAGGAAATCATTTAAGAGGTTTTTCTGAGCAATGGAGAATCAAGATTTGACTCTGAGCCTCCAGATCCAGTCATGCCTGAAGCTAGCCCACCGTGGCCATCTCAATTATTTAAGATAGTAAGTTTCCTGTTCTCCTGTTACCTCTTGCAATCGAAATAATTCTACTTTGTTATAATTTTGAATATGGATGTTTAATTAAACACTGAAACAGCGACATAAATGTCAACTAGGTCCTCCTGTGCCAGGATCCTAAAGAGCCTTATGGGGTAATGGGCTGCTAGAAACTTCAAAGAATTGTAGGAGAGCCACCTGAGCTGTCTGAACTCTTCCTTAGGGACTGAAGACAATAGGATGAGAAAAAGAATGACAGATTCAGCCTTCTGTCCAGCGGCGGAAGCACTTGCTGGAATAATGCAGTTAAAGCCAGGGCTGTCAAATTTTAACATGCACGAATCTCCTGTGGATTTGGTAAAATGCAGATTCTGACAAGTTCCCAGGTGATACTGATCATGTTTTTCTTTGGGCCGCACTGTGAGCTGCAAGTGTGTGGGACAGTGAGTGACTGAGAGCATTGGCTCTGGATCGGCCAACAGAATCCACTGTGATCTTGGGTAAGCTATTTAACTGTTATGGAGCTCAGCTCCACTTAAAAGGAGGATAACAGCCCCACCTTGTGGTTCCATTGTGAACATTCAATGAAATAATCTAAGGTGTTTAACATATTGCCTGACAGTAGGGCAACTGAATGCTCTTCTTCCTCTTCTACTTCTCATTCTTTTCCTGAGCAGGATTTCTCAAAGGTTAATCCATGAATTGACTGCATCCAAATTCCTGGCATTAAAATTACAGATTCTTGGGTCCACCAGACACTTGCTAAAGCAGGTTCTCTAGAGACTGGAGGCCAGTAAACAGCATTTTAAATTAACAATGCAGAGCAGTCTGATGCAGAAAGCCTAGAAACCTCACATCCCAGGTGGAGAACAGACAGCCTCAACCATGTGAGGATAGATAAGCAGGAGAGAAAACAGTAGAACAGTATTGAATCAGCTTCAAGTTGTTTAACAGTCACCTGTCTGGGGGCAACTGACCTGCTCACACTTGCTAATTATTGGGCTACAGAAAGAATGAGACGAGGAAGAAGAGAGGGAAACCTACTTACCTTAACTATAAAACTCGAACCTCCAGGCCAGTGCCAGAGGATGGAGTACATTTTCCACAGTAACCACCGCATTTCCCTACAACTCGGGTACCATCCTGTAAAGAGATGCAAAATCTTAGATGACCTTCTTGGCTGAAGTTTTCAAAGCTTGCACTAGACACTGAGGAAATCACTCTTGTATGCACAGTAGATAGGATTTCTGCATAGAAATGGAGCCCAACACCCTCACCATGGGCTAAAGCAGTGGTTGGCAAACTCTGGCCGTTGGGCCCAATCTAACCTGCCACCTGTTTTCTCAAGAACAGTTTTATATTTGAATGGCTAAGAAGATGAAAACTAAGAATACTAATTCTTGGGCCTCCCCGGTGGCGCAGCGGTTGAGCGCTGGGTTGCGAAGCTGTCCGCAGCCTCTGCAGCGCCGGTTCGATCCCCAGCCTCCAGGTGATAGTCCCACATGGCTCACAGACCTCTCCTGCTGCCCGCTGCTCCCCTCAGCAGTGTACTTCATCAGTCTGCCTGCTCTGCTCTCTGCTCTGACTCTGGTGAATTCTCTCACCCTCCTGCACTTCTGACTGTACCCAATGCTTATATAAATAAATAAATCTTCTTTTTAAAAAAAGAATACTAATTCTTGACATATAAAATTACATGGAATTCAAATTCCAGTGTCTATGAATAAAGTTTTATTGTACACATTCACTCATGATTTAGTTAACATCTACAACTGCTTTTGTGTAACAACAGCAGAGTTGAGTGGTTGCTTCATACTGCTGCTCAGCACACACCATGATTGACAGCAACAGTTTTAACTTGACAGTGTTCTGAATGCTATGAATCTAGCTCTACCATAACATTTCATTCTTTTCAATTATCAGTATACACTATCACATAAAAACAAGAGGAAAGGACTTTCCAGTTAGTACTTTTAAGGTACCTTGGCAAGTAAACGATTCTGTTATCCAATTTAGATGACAAACCGTTGTGTTTAGCATGCAATGACACTATAGCAGTGCTAAAAAACACACTATAGGGGCCTCCCTGGTGGCACAGAGGGTTAAGTGCAGCACAAGTTCAATTTCCAGCCAGGGAGCTGACCCACATGGCACAGCAGACCTCTCCTGTCTTGCCCGCTTCTCCCCTCAGCAGTGTATTTCATCAATCTGCCTGTTCTGCTCCCCACTCTGTCTCTGGTGAATCCTCTCACCTTCCTGTTCCTCTGGCCTATACCCCAGCACTTGTATGCATAAATAAATCATTAAAAAAAACACACTATATACTGGTATCACCAGCTTCAGTATTTATATAATATTCCCAATCACAGGAAAGCAATGATAAGAAATCTAGAAAATTTAAAGTGGACTATCTCACTATCATAGTATTTCTACACACACACACACACACACACACACACACACACACACACACACACATTAGGTAGTTTCCAAGTGGTTAATTTGTTAGCCAAGCAAGGAAAACTGGTTAGTGATGGTAAATTAATGCAATTTTCTTTAATTGTAACAGCTAAAGAAATGTGTCCAGAAAAAAATTAAGATTATTATCCTTTTAGCAAGAACAACTGTTACAAAATTTAATGATGATGGGAGCAACATCAATGGTCAATTAAAAAATAAGGAAAATAATTCTGCGTTGTTCTGCCCTTGACTCTTGATGACTTAATGGCTGTTACTGATACTTTTCATTTGTTTATTCAAATAGACAATACTGAGTCAGAAGTGACTGATGAAAAGTTAGTTTTTATGAACAATCCGTGTGGAACAAGCCCAGGTGAGAATATTTCAAAGAGGCTGAGAAAATAATAGTGAAGAACACTGAAGTGAAAATTACTAAGATGTGCTGATAGCTGATTATGGTAAAAATAAATAGATAAATAAGTGTGGAGCAGAAAAAGCTTTAGGTGAACAATGCAAAACTTGTGAAAATATAAGATGTTTAAAACTTATGATTATTTGGGCCTCCCTGGTGGCGCAAGGGGTTAAGCATTGCATTATGAAGCAATCCACAGCCTCTGCAGCACGAGTTTGATCCCTGGCCGGCCAGGAAGCAACCTACATGGCTCAGCAGACCTCTCCTAACATGCCCGCTGCTCCCTTCAGCAGTGTATTTCAGTCAATCTGCCTGTTTGTTCTCCACTCTGTCTCTGGTGAATCCTCTCACCCCCCACATCTCTGGCCTGCATCTCAGCTCTTGTGTGTATAAATAAATATTCTTTAAAAAAAACATGATTATTCCTTGTGCTACTCATTAGTAGGTACTTAGTGGAAAACATTCTAATTTATCAGGTTAGTGTTAGTACCACTATTGTTGAAGATGAGCTTCTTTTGTGATCATGAACTTAACCATCATCAGTTTTATAATTTTTTTTCGGAACTAAAAGCTGAATCCCGACTTGTCCTTCTATACACCAGTTTGATGACCAGCAGGGATAAAGTTGATTGTGAACTTTGAGCTCAAGGATGGATTTAAATTTTTCTGAAGAAGAACTGCTCTCAGTCACTGCAACTTAAAACTTTGCTTTGAACATTGGCATTTACTATGAACTTGGTAATGTTTCTTAATGAACTGAACCTAAAATTACAAGGTCAAGTTTTAGGTAAAACTTGTACTGTGATAAAGTCTCTTCCGTGAAAACTAATATTGTTTGAAACATAAATAATGCTAAGTCAGGTTACATAGTTCCCATTCTGTCAAAAGTTAAAATAAAAAGCTACACATCCTTTCTACATGAATTTATAGTGGATAGCTTTTATGAGTTTCAACGATAGTTCCAGCAAGAATATTTGGGCTTCAAAGTAAGTGCAAAGGAAATTTTCATATTTTAAAAACAATTTAGCCAGGTAATTGAGGAGCTTCTAACTCATCTTCAACTGTAGTGATAGTAATGTAATGACATCCTAAAGGCAGATATAAAGAGAAAAATCTAATAGAATTCTGTAAATACCTGCCAAGGCACAAATATACTCAATTAAAATTTTCTGCTGTGCAAATACAAAATCCAAAACAAAATGGATAAAAGATTTGAAAATAAGATCTGAAACCATAAAATACATAGAAGAAAACATAGGCAAAACACTCCATGGCATGCACCTCAGTAACATCTTTGAGGACTCATCTCCAGAAGCAAAGAAAGTGAAAAGATGAACAGCTAACATACAGCTCTGGTGGCCTTATGGATATGGTGACATGCTAGGAATGACATCACATTAAAGCTTGTGCTTTATATCAAACTGTCCTGAGCCATCAGCAGAGACAGCCTAGTATTTGTACTGTATCTTTGAATAAGCTCCTTAGACCTAGGTTTCCTGGTCCAGCTGTAAAATGGGAATAATATCCGTCTTCCCTCATAGGTTTGCTCTAAGAGAAAGGATGCCGGAAAAGCACTTCAGCACAGCACGTGGCCTAATGTCTGTGCTCAATAAATATTAGCTATTATCATCATAATAGTATCTTTATTGGGAAGATCTCGGTTACAGTCTGTTCTCATGGAGATGAGAAAATGCCTGGGTAATTACAAAATGGCTGATAATGACTTTCCAATGTTCATTTTGCTTCATTAATTAGGACTCTGCTAATTTGATTTAGATAAGGGCTGAGCTGAAACTTGTCATTTTTACCACAGAATTGAAGAAACCTACTGAGAAAACATCATGTAAACACGATTGCCATAGAAACAGCATCTATTTCAGAGAAAAAAGGTATGTTTACCAGCATCTTGGAAAGCCCATTCACATAGCACGAACACCAATCATAACTCATTTTTATTTCTTCATTAAAACGGGTCCTCCCAAAATACCTTTTCAATGAATACTTTGTTAGCCTAGTTTGAGCTATTACATATAATTAAAAGGAATGACTCTCAGTTCCATTAGGAATAGTTTATATTTATTTTTTTCCACCAGTTTCTGTTTTCCTCAGTCAGCATGAGGGCTGGCTGGTTCATGTGATTTAGGAAGGTCACACATCTTCCACTGAAATGTGCTAATTTGCATTTCTCTGGAGTGTGTTAGTAGTGCATTTGTCCATAAGACACAGTATTTGAGGTTTTACCACCCCAATGTAGTCTTAGACAGTTTCATATACATGTGTACACACATACACACACACACACACACACACACACACACATATATATATAAATATTCATGTACATGTTGTCTAATTTCTATAGGAATGAACAGAATTTAAAGAGACATATGCAGTGTAATTTTACTTTCCTGGTCTGTAGTATGAAATTTATACTAGGTGGCTAGATGGATTTTCATAAGTTAATTGTGGGTGAGGAAGTGGTAGGTAAACAGAGTTGATTCTGTACCTGATATACACAGGTGTGTACACACACACTTTCAAAGCAATTCCTTCATTTACAGCTCTCCCCCAGCACACAAAATGTCCATTAGGCCTTCTGGCCAGGTAGTCCGGTCTTTGAAACACAGCCCCAGCCAACCCCCACCCTGCAATTTCCCTGGGTGCAGAGAGAAGCAAAAAGACCTGAGGGCACCTCTCCAGCCTGCCTGGAGTGTGCCTCCCTCCACTTATGAGCCAAACAACCTGGCTTTCAAGGCCTCTTCCAGAAGCATCTCCTACTGTGGAGAGGGCCAGAGAAGAGTCAAGAACAGGCACGTGTGGTTGCTGGGCCATGCAGATGCGGGTACAGGGCTCTTTCACAGCCTGGGCACATTCTTGAACTTAGAGAATGTCACTGGCTGAGGAGCTCAGAACTCCAGCATTTCTTCCCCCAGCTGGGCCATGCTCCCCTTTCTGCCTGCCTGCTGCTCACAGAGTAGAAGGTCCCTGCACCAAGCACACAACCAAAAGCATCTGCCTAGAAGTGGCTCCCTGAGCCAGGGGTGGGGAAGGGCTGACCCACATGCCTAATTCCCAGGTACATGCACACAGCCTACATGGGACTGTGGGTCCAGCCAGGTCCAGGCTCAGCCTCGCCTCAGGCCACGCTCCACTGTGTGGCCATTAGCCATTTCAGCAAGCCTGTTTCCGGACACTGGGCCAAGTTCTGGAACCTCAGGCCAGCCTCAGGGCAATGACAATGGTATAACATTAAAAGCTAATATTTCTTGAGCTTCTGCTGTTTGCCTGTCAACATGCTAAAAGCTTTCCATCCCTAGCTCATTTACGCTTCTCAAGAACCCAAAGGGATGAGGGGGTCACCAAATCCCCACTTGAAGGATGAAGAGATCGAGTACCCCAGAGAAGAGAAACTGCTTGCCCAAGACCACCAAGCTGCAAGTGCTCACTCAGTGGTCCTGCCCAAGTGTGTGCTCAAGCTCCAACAGTCAGCCCCAGGGGCTGTCACTCAGCGCCTGCAGCGGCCTGCTCCCCACAGGAGGACCCTGCACCTGCAAAGCAGCACTGTGTGCACAGCTCCCACCACTGCTCACCTCACGCTCTGAGAATTTGCAAGATAGCTGGCAAGACAACAGACTGAATGCCTGTAAAAGGCCCAATAGCTATTTCATTTACAGAAAGTACTATTTTTGTTAGTTAAACCTGGAAGAACGCTCTCCATGACACACAGAACATGCCACAGAGATCTATTTTGACCAGTTTTCCCTGCCGTCCGAGTGGTACCAACAATTCAGCTTACCCTGGATGACTGCAGCTTTCCTTTAGTTTTGCTTGGGGAAAACGTTTTCTTGCCAAGCAGGGTTGGAAAATTGAGGTTTTCATTGTTTTTCCCTCTGCACCACCCAGCAGCAGAGCAAAGGAAAGCGAGGAATCATTATTTGAGGACTGAATCAGAGCAGGGCTCCTTGGAGAGACAATTATGCCTGACTATGAGCACTGAGGGGAGCCTGGACCTTCATCCTAAAGGGGCGAGTTGCTGGTGGGGAGTGTGGGGACAGGACACGGTATGCTTTTCCAAAGTGTATTCCATGAAACGCTAATCATTCAGGGAAATGCAAAGGGTCTGTGGCTGGTTTAAATTGGGATTCTAGCTCTAATTCTAGGTTCTTAAAACAGCCTTAAAACTGTTCTTAAATCATAGTCTTGGGCCAGGGGCCTCAGCATCAGCTGGGAAATTGTTAGCAATGTCCATTTTGGCCCCTCCCCATGCCAGCTGTGGTTTGACAAGTCCTGTAGGCATTGCCAGTGCCTCACCTCAGTTTGAGAACCACAGATTTAGCAGAAGACTGGCTTGAATAAAGGCTCACAAGCTTCCTCCTGCATTTACTCCAACCTCTAAAACACCCAAGCTTACTGTGACTCTGTAAGAATATACAATTTTTCCCCTAATGTTTTTGACTGTAGAGACCTATTTCCATGGAGTCCCTAGAGAATGTGCTAGGGGTGGGGGGTCGCCCAGCAGGGCTGGCACACAGCATGCCTCGGGCTGCCAGGGGCTAGAGGTTGCTCAGTCCTGCACCCAGGGGTTCAGAAGGAATGCTCCACAGACCCTGGAGATTAATTTTGAGCTCAGGCTCTCTGAGCTGTCAGGGAATACCAAGAGCAGAAAAAAAAAAATGCTGACAGGTGGTTGTTGAGCCAGCTCCCTCGGCTCAGGCACAGCACCCCCACAGGCGGGGGGACAGCCAGCCCTTCTTGGCAATGGAGTGATAGTTCTCTCCGCAAGGTGGCGCTCTGGGCTGCCATCATTTTTAGTTTCCAGAGGAAAAGCTGCAGTATAGACACTGGGTAACAAATAGAATCGAAATTTAAGTGCCACCACTAACATAGATGGTTTCCTATGTAATCGTGCTTCCTGTGCGACCACGACCACGTTTTGGGTAGTTAAGTTTTTCTTCCTTTGGGTCATGGAAACCTAATATATGGACCCTAGAGGGCAGAAGCAGGGAAGGTTATTATGATTTTCGGGCACATTCTGAATTAAAGTGCTGTCTCTCAGCTGTCCTTACTCCCTTCTCAACAAAGACAAATATTTAATGATTAATTTACAATCCTAATGGCCACTTAGCTAATCATATTTTAGGTCAATGGTTGGCTTAGAGAAAAGAGTAAGTGAAGAGCTTTATTACAGATACACGTTTGAGATGGCAAAAAAAAAAAAAAAAAACCCAAAACAAAAAAAAAAAACAAATCTCTTGAGATTTTCCTGCAAAATGACCTTTGAATGTTTCTTCCTTTCCTGGGGGAAAGAGGTTGAACTTCTTCATGTTCTGATTTTGACAGAGTTGCCAGATTTAGCAAATAAAATCACAGAAGGCCCAATGCACAGGGTGTGAATTTCAGATAACAAATACTTTTGAGAATAAGTGTTTCCCATGAAATAAGTGTTTTCACTTCTAGTGAAAAAATGTTCCTGTTGACTTGAAATTCAAATTTAAATGGGTATCTTGTATTTTTGTCTGGCAGCCTTACTTTTGAATAATACCCCACTTTCATAAGCGGGGTATTCATCTTCCCCTACCCATATTCATGAAGACTTTTGAGACAGGGGTCTTGGTTGAGAAGGTTGGGGTCACAGCTATATTCTGGTGAATTTCCTCTTTGTCCCCTTGGCCCCCTATCAGGTTTCTATGGAACACTCTCAGAACATTTTCAGGAAGGTTGGGAAGGGCAGCGATTTCTGATCTCTGCTTGGCTGTACATTACAATCACCCAAGGGAGTATGCAATTCTACCCCAGGTCAAAGATTCCCATGCAGTGGAGCTGGTAAGGGCCTGGGCACATGCATTCTGAGCCATCCTCTGTGCGTCCAGTATACACCACTCAGGTGAGAAATTCACAGAGATCAGTGCTTCTCAAGCTGCTGCACCTGCTTGAGACATATGGGGACATTCTACTGATACTCCAGCAGGTCTGGGGTTCTAAAAACTGCATGTTCAACAAGTTCCCAGGTGATGCTGATGCTCTGTGCAGCCCATGCCTCCAGCAGCAAGATTTTAGAGCATAAAAAGTCAATGCAGAGTCCTTGAGTGTCTCTCCAACTCTCCAGAAAAGCCACCTGATAAGCTATGCCCTTCTTTCAGCCCCATTCGCATGGAAACAAACATCACTAGCCCTAAGTTGACAAAAGTGGACCTGGTGCTAAGTGCAAGGCACCCGAGCCACACACCCCATCACAGGCTTCCTCCAGCTGCTTTCAGCTTCCTGCCTAAACTTCCTCTAACCGCTGATTCCCAGGTTCCCAGGAAGATCCACCAGAAGAGAAGCAAGACTCTGTCCCCCACTCTCCTTCACCTTACACTTCACCTTCACCTTACACTTCACCTTCGATTTATTCCCTACATTTTCTTCCTGACACTCTGCAAAAATGGTCTGAGGAAGTGGGAAAGTGCATTAGCTGGTTCCTCCGGCATCACCGACACAGAGGGAGGGAGATAAAACAGCCCCTCCCCCAAGCCCTGAGCAACCTACCGGCGACTTCTTAATGTCCGAGACCGCGTAATTCCCTTGGGATATCCACCTGGCAGATTCTGTTAAAGACAGGCCGGTCCCGTAAAGGTTGATGCTAAAGCGACCCTGGAAATAAATGGCCCATAGAAAAGATTTTTAGTCCATACCACACACACAAAACGGTACCTTGTAAAGAAGGATGTTAATTAAAACAGCTACTAGTTAGGGACGAGGTCCGGGCCTGGCATTTTGCACGCATCATCTCATCTATCCTCGCAAGAACTCTCTCTAAAGGGGGTTTTCTTTACAGATGGGGAAACAGAGGACAGAGTGGGAGTTCAATTCCCATTTTCTCCACTCAACTTCCTCGTCCTCAACCACCGCCATTCTGCTTCCCTAACACAGCAATCCCGGTGTTGCTCACAATGACCAGATTTTTTTTTCAGGCACAAAATGCCACAGAGTAATTTTTATAACAAGACCTGGCTGCCAAAGCTGCCGGGGCTGCAGCATCCCGCGGCGCCGAGGACACCGTGTACTCAGCACAGCCGGCGGGACACGACTTCAAAGACAGCGCGTTCTCCGCAGCGGCCACTGGAGGGCGCGCGCGGCCCGCTCGAACCCCCCGGGGCCCAGCAGCGGCTTCCAGGGCAGAGAAGCCCGCTCTCCAAACCGCTCTGGGATCCCTTTTAAAAACTGGCCTCAAAATGTCGTCAGTTTCAGACGCATTTCCAAGCAGATGGTGCAGCAAAGGTTCTCTCTTGCTTTCTTCGTCTGTCTGTATTTCACTCTACAAAGGGACCTGCAAGTTTCTGGAGGCTTTCTAGTCCACAGGGTGCAGTTTCAGAATTAAAACTCTCCCACACCCTTCAAGTTCTGGGCGAACGCTGTCTGCTTGAGCCTGACCATCCAGTACTTTGTCAAAAGTCTTTAACAGCGCAAGGAAGAAGTGGTGGAGGCTCAAAATCAGACAGCTCTACTAGTGAATTCAGGCTTTTCATTCTCAAGTAGATCCTGATTTTTTAAAAGCTTCCCAGAACCTCAGTTTGCCCATCTGCAAAATGGAAGGTAATAAACAATACCTTCCTCCAAGAAGCGTAGTGTGGACTAAATGAGATAAGTCTGTAGCATGTGGCTGGTACCTAGTAGAATCTCAATATTATAGCGCTCCTGAATCTTGTTTTAGTTTCTCTCTCCAACATAAAAATAAGTTTATGGAGGGGAAAGATTTGGTATTGCTTTGCTTATTTATATCAGGCATGGTTTGAAGAATGACCGACATTTGATGAATTTTTAAATAAAGATTACATCTTGGCTCTTCAATTAAGGCTGTCAAGACTAGGGCCTCCCCTGGTGGTGCAGGCGGTTGAGCGCTGCGCTGTGAAGCAGTCCGCAGCCTCTGCAGCGCTGGTTCGATCCTGGCCCATCGGTGAGGGTCCCACATGGCACGGCAGACCTCTCCTATCCCGCCCGCTGCTCCCCTCAGCAGTGTATTTTGTCAGTCTGTCTGTTCTGTTCCCCACTCTGTCTCTGGTGAATCCTTTCACCCTCCTGGAGCGCATCTGGCCTGTACCCTGGTTCTTGTATAAATGAATGAATGAATGAATAAACAAACAAACAAACAAACAAACAAACAAACAAACAAACAAATAAGACTGTAAGCACTAGGTGTAACTAGCTGGTTTCCTCTCCATGTCAGTTCCATTAGTATTTACTAACCAGAGTCAACAGACCCTTTGCAGCCTTAGTTTTCATATCTGTAAGATGGGATTCCTACTAGTAGGATTCTCACTCATAGGGGTCATGGGGAGGTTCATCTGTTTAAGTCAGTGCCCCCCAGGAGAGATGCAGCAATATCTGGAGACATTTTTTTGTGGTCGCAACTGGCAGGCCAGCATCTGGTGTGCTGCTAACATCTGGTAGGCAGAGACTAGAGACGGTGTCAATATTCTCCTATGCATAGCACTGTGCCCCCAACAAAACCTCAATAATGTTGGGAAACCTGGCATAGAAGATGGATTCACCCTGTAAACCCGACTCTTCTGCTTTTAGTGAGACTTTAGGGAAGCAGCTCACCTTCCTGAGTCCATCTGTAAAATGGTTTGTAGGACCTTACCTAAGCATAGTGGGGTTTGCACTTAACTCACTACCTGCCAAAGAGTAAGTGATACAGAAAAATGTTTTTTGAAAATTCTGCAAGGACCATGCTCTGCTGAGGCCAGTGGTTGTCTGGGATTGAAGCTGCAGTAGTACAGCTGTAGGGCAAACTTGGCCTCCCCAGACCCTGTCTTCTGTGTGCTGCGTTACCCCACCTGGCTCTCTTCTTATCTTGCCACCTTCCTGCCATGAGAATGGCCTCTACCCTGTTCATCATGCCCAGATCACCCTGTGGCCAAGGACCTCTCTCCTTCTCCCTTCCCATCCTGCTTCCCACACAGACTGCCCATCCCACCTGCAGAGGTAGACAGATGCACTGCGAAGTTCTTAGAAGGCCCAGGCTAGGGCCTCCCTGGTGATGCAAGGGATTAAGTCACAGCACTATGAAGCTGTCCGCAGCCACTGTAGCATGAGTTCGAGGCCCAGCCAGGGAATTAACCTACATGGCACAGCAGACCTCTCCTGTCTTGCCTGCTGCTCCCTTCAGTATTTCAGACAGTCTTCCTATTCTGTTCCCCACTCTGTCTCTGGTGAATCCTCTTACCCCCCACACCTCTGCCCTATACCCCAGTTCTTGTATATATAAATAAATATATCTTTAAAAAAAAAGAAAAAAAAGGAAGGTCCCGGCTACTGAGCTGGCGTCTAGACCAAGCATGCCTCCTCTTGATGGGGCTGCTGGTGTCTGGCCATGCTCACCACCTGAGTCTCATGAGCAGTGAGTCTCATGAGGCCTGAATGGAACCAATCTTTCTCCTCATTCTCTTTCCAGCTTTTCCAGTTCATGGATCTGCATTTTTAGCAAGCATCCTAGTGGATAATTAGCACCACTCTAAAAGTGGAGAGCTGCCAGCATAAAGACCTAATGTCCTTCTGAGCTGTAGTCTGGGACATCTTTGTCCCTCAAAGCCTCATCTCCAGGGTCCAGGGTCTAAAACTTGCATGCAAGTTTTACTCCTACTTCCTGTTGTTGATTTAAGAGTAAAAGTAATTAAGAATCACTCATGCTACTTAATCCAGAAAGGTTTGCAAAAGATGCGCCTTAGACTGAGAGGTTTTATTGTCTGTTCAGACAAGAGTTAAAATTGCAGAAATCTTGCTTGGAAACAGGCTCAGTCATGTCTGCCACCATGCGTCTGGATTCTGACATTCTTGGGATCAAATCCAACCTTGACTGTGCTGTGTGGATATCACCCAACCTCAGTTTCCTCATCCCTCAGAAGGTGCCTTCACGGTAACCCATGGATTAAATGCTACACTGACTTAGAAATTTTGGGCACAGTGCCTGCAGCATAGTAAACATTCAGTAAGTGCTACTAATTCCAGCATCCATGGCTGTACAGCAGGTCCTTGAAGAAGGAATTTCCATCAAGGTCAGCTGGGATTCTTTGTTTCTCTTCTATGTTATAATGAAATGATGTTGCACAAAATGGTATTATTCAAGGACCTGCTTTCATTGTATGTTGTTTCGCTTAACATCATGACTTCCAAGAAGCTATCAGCACCATTAAATGAGTACATACTATAATGTTGCATCCATGTACTCAGGATAAAAATAGAACCTGGCTCTGTCTTCATTTGAGGGCTCTTGGGCAACCCACCCATATGGATACATAAATCTCAAAAGCAATATTAATGCATGAGGTGGAAGAAGCAGATTGTCAAAGTTCCCCTCTGCTAGGATTTCTGTGCAATCATTAAGTCAACAGATGAGCCATCTGCTCTAAAGCAGCTTCCACAATCAGACTTCCTACAGACCTTTTCCTGGAAAACAGTTTGAAAGACTCACATCTTTTATCACTATAGTCAGTGCTCAATAACTCTCAGAAATAACTCTCAAAGTACCCACTACGATTTGAAGAATAGGCTGGGAAACAACCCATAAATTAGCTTCTATTTATTTGGCTGTGGAATTTCTCACTTAGCAATGGCTTCAGTAAAGGGGCTTGCAAATCGATTCATTTGTTTCCAATTATTAAAATAAATGAATGCAAATTAGCTTTCATTTACTTAAGGGTCAGTCCCAAAAGATGTACACATAGAAACAAGAAAATCTGAGACATCTGAACTAGGCAGGATGGGGTCAATCTATTAGCTGTTAAATGCAACCCATACCAAGGGGTGTTTGAAGTCACCAACTAAAGTTTTCAATTCCTGGGTAATGGAGCACAGGCCCTTTTTACCATTATGTCCTTTGTTTATTTTCTTTCTCCCCTGAGAGTTTCCTTTTCACTTCTCGAAAATGTTTAGCAATGCTTTCTAAAGCTCTGGGCTGAGAAAACACTTTGTTAGAAGAAAATTCAGATGTGTTTGTCTTTGGATGGTCTGAGGTTGGGTGTAAATCCATCCTGGGGAGACAGGGCCTGGGATTCTCAACACATCAGCTGGTCCCAACGCCCAGACTTTAGAGAGCTCACGGGCAAAGTGGGAAGTTCCTGACAGGGTTTAACAACAGCTTTGTGAAGACCTTAAGTCAACCAAAGAAAGAACTGGGGCGCTTCGCTCCTGTCCAGGATCACTTAATTCATTTTGTTTGTCATGCTGTCTAATTGCAGAAGCTTCCTGCAAAGATGAACGCCTGCCTTGTCAAGTTAGCTGGGGCTGATTATTACAGGATGTTCCAAAAGGCAAGCAAAAACTTGCCACGCCTCTTAGGAGGCAAGGCCTTGTGAGCTGCAGTGGGCAGGCCGACTCCCATTCAGCTGCACTGCTACTGCCAGTCCAGCAGATTACACCTTTGCACTTCTTGGTCTGAACACTGAGCACACAATATTCAGAATTTTTAAAAGCTGACAGTGGTATGTTGGAGCAGCTTTTGGGAGTCATCTGTGTGCCTCTCCCCCCAACTTTCTAATTAGTGATGTCCTGGCGACAGCTTCAAATCAGTCACAGGGAGAATATTTACACCATGGAAATTGGCAAAGGCTGCAAAGAGGCTTATTTTTTTCCCCCTTGAAGAGTCAGTCATGGAGCGTTTCTCAGCGCTCACTGGCTGTAGAATATGCATTTCACAAACCCTCGTAATTTGTTGAAGGTCTTGTCATCCAACATCCACTGTGTCCAAATTTTCACTATTATAATAGATGCATTTTGCTAAATGTAGAACTTTGGCACGTGGCTCCAGTCACCTCCTTAGGAAACACTCTCAGGGGTGGAATCACTAGACAAGAAGCTGTGAGCATCTGTCAGGCTCTTGATGCAGGTGGCCAAACTGCCTTCCAGAGCAGCTGTTCTAAGCACATTCCCAGGACCAGACACAGCCCAGGGTGCCCTGGGGGCGGGCTCCTGTGGGTGCTCATCAGGGAGGAGGATACACATACCTGTGGGCACTTGGCGGCACTGTAGCAGTCCCCAGCTGTGGCAAAGGGCACCGGGTGCCCCTCGCTTGTCCTGGCAAACTGTAGATCAGTGGCTGTGCATTGTGGAAAAGGGTTAAAAGGAGAGAAAAGGTGACAGTGGGAGAAAGGGGCAGGGAAGGGACAGGATATTGGAAAGATGGAAGGGAAGAAGGGTAAGAAAAACAATCAGAGGGAACGGGAGAGAGAAAAACCACAGTATGATTAGTAAGCAAATGGATCCAGATGTGGGCTTTCTTTTTCCTCATTACATTTGTGGTTCCAAGAGCCTTGTTCCCTGGGTTTTATCAGCACGGACTGACTCCTCACAGCATGGGAGCCAAAAAGGGGCTTAAGATGACTTTGGAATCGATTCATATATAAACAAATATGCGAATAACCTTGCTTAAGTGGGGTGTAATGGATGATGGTGAATCTTCGGTGTACTCCCTCAGAGGTTTTGGGACATGGGGAAATAAGCCAGAAAAGCATTTCCAGCTACTTAGGAATTATTCCCTGAGGCTTCATCTGTCCTCCAGTGGCCTAGGCACTATTATTGCCAAAATGTGGAGCAATTAGAACCCACATCTTGAAAGCATTAATGGCAGTTTCTCAAGTTCGGAGCAAACTTGTAGTTAAAAAAAAAAAAAAAAAAAACAACAACAATAAAAACAATCCTCATGTCTTTAACCCCCCTATCGCTCCAGAGACCAGCTCTGCAAGCAGGGAATGCAGATCAGGAGGAGTCATTTTGAGAATTCTGCAAAAGCTGTGGCTGGTGGAACTGGAAGGCCCACTCAGCTTTTACCTTTTCTGTCTTGTCTTTGGGGAACAGCAGAGAAGGCCTTAATCCTCTCTGCAGTGAACTATGCTTTGAGGGGAAGGAAATCTCAGGCCCTCTTCTGCAAGGAAAGTGCCCCTTGTCAGCATGCAGAAGCCGTAGGTCTAACTTAACTGGCCTGTTTTTCTCAGTGAAGAAACTGCAGACCCTCTGCCTTGAGCCTCCTCAGTTTAGCGGAAGGCAATTAAAAATATCTTGGTACAAATCAAGTTGAATCTACCTCCAGAGCAAACTGATGCACTATTATGGGTACAATGTTAATGAGGAAAACATTAATTATTCATTATTTCTGCTTTTCCTCTATTCAGGGAACGTGCTTGGATCTTTTAGCTGTCCTTAACCACTCCTATGATTAATGTCCCTACCAAAAATGCAGTGCTGGCCAGAGTATAAAATCAGCCTACGTGCAGGCTAGTTGAGGAGAGGTAATTCTGTGCTCCATTTTTCTTCCGTAAATCAACAGTCAGACAAAATGAGCTTTACGCCCATGTGTGTGTGTGCACTGTGCTGGTGGGAACAGGGTGGGGGGGGTGGTGAATGTTGCCACATAAATCTCTAGCTTTGGGGTTTTGTATCTGCTATTTCTTCTACCTTAAAATATCTGCTGCCACCCTTGCTTTTCCACATGGTTGCCCATGCCTGGCAAACTCCTACTTGACCTCACGCATTGTTTCAGTGTTAGATTTATGGGGGTACTCCCCTGACTTCCCATACTGCCATTTCTCCATCTACTCTACCTGTTCATTCATCACACAGCTGCTGGCCATTCACCTCTTTGCTGGGAGCTCTCCAGGCCCCAGGGGTGTAGCAGAGAACCAAAGAGCAGCCCAGCTTACCAGTGAGACCTCCCGCCTGCCTGCCTGGGCTTATCTGGGCCTGGATTGAAGCTTCCTGTCGCTCCTGTTCCTTCCTCTCTCCATCTCGAAGGCCTCACCCCTGACAATTTGCAGGATCTGTTTGCACATCCTCATATGCTATTCCACTGAACTTACTTATTATCTGCATGGTGGTCAGGTCTATTCTGATTTTCTGGAAGCTGGAAAACCCAGCAGCCGTGTAGTCCTTCCGACACTGGCAGTCATCACGCCGGCTCCCATTGTAGGGGCATTCTGTTGGATTGTGCAACCTACAATCCAGAGAGAATATTCTGGTAAGAATGGGAAGGCATTTCCAAGGATCCTGAGGATGCTGGGCTTGTCCGTGCCTGAGCTCTCCTACCTGTGCCCATAAACCTCAGAGAAATTCTCTGAGTCGCCATGGACCAGGGTGATGTACTCCTTGGGGTGGTCAGACTGCATGCCTGCACAGAATATCTGCAAGACAGACCAGAAATAATCCACGAGAGGGGCTCAGAAACAAGACATTGAAAGCAAGGGTCACTTATGCTATAATCAGTCTAGAAATGATGGCTGATGACCCATGTTCACCTTCAGAAGCTTTCCTTTGATGGTCAGGAAATATTCACCATCTTCACTGGCACCTTTCAGTCTTTTAACTTCCTTGCAGTTCTGGGGTAACTCACCTGGAAAAGGTGAAATGTAGAAATGGGGTATGAGAGGCCCCAAGACGTGCAATGTTTGCCGATGGGCTAAATCACACTGTTCACATGGAAACATTTTTAGCATAGGGGAGACTGGTAAAGAAACAAATGCCATCTTTCTAAAACGGGCAGGCACAGAAATGAACAAAGAAGCCCCATTCCTCATGCTTCAGAGGGAGGGCTTCAATTGGCTGACTTACAGTTATAGACATTATGGCAGGTTTTTCTTTCTTCTGGCTTCAAATCAGCAGGGCATAATTGGCTGGGCTGGTCCTCGTTGGTCAAACATTGCACGGACCTGTGCATCACTCCAACGCCACAGGAGACTGAGCACTGCAAGCAGACCAGAGGGGGGTTTGCCAATGGAACCCACAGGCATGGGCTTCCAGGGGTGGGGTTCTCCGAGTCTGCTGGCACGCATGGGGCGTTTTACATGCTATGCTGCTGAAAACAAAGAGTTGGTATATGGTGGGTACTTTTACCAAGGACCAGTCTCTGTGCTAAGTTGTAGACATGCACAGAGACATTTCTACATATACACTTACACGTATATGTGGATGCATGTATACACATATACATATATACACACATATGTAGATAATTTTCTCACTTAAGCCTCCTAATAACCTATGAGATAATATTTTATTCTTTTTTATAGGACAAAGACTGGGGCTCAAATACTAAAAAACTTACTCAAGGAGATGCTGGCACCCGGATTCAAATTTTCATCACAGTCAACTGTTTCTACACTTCAGCCTGATCACTTTGCAACACTGAGCGACCTCAGAGTTGTCAGGGGCCAGAGGGCTGTGGCGATTTTTCCCTGGCGGTCCCAATTTAAAACATTCTTACGAGTTATACTTCTAATGTCCCAAGGTATTGCAGAACAGAAGGACTAGAACAGATACTTCCTGCAACAGAAGCACCAACAACTAATGCCTCTATAACCCTTATTAATTAAGGACCAAAATTCTAGGTGCCTTTTTTTTTTAAAAAGATTTATTTATTTATTTATTTATTTATTTATTTATTTATTTATTTATTTATTTATACAAGAACCGGGGCACAGGCCAGATTCATGGGAGGGTGAGAGGATTCACCAGAGACAGAGCGGGAAACAGAACAGGCAGACTGACTGAAATACACTGCTGAGGGGAGCAGCAGGCGAGACAGGAGAGGTCTGCTGCGCCAAGTGGGACCCTCTCTGGCGGCCGGCCGGAATTGAACCGGCGCTGCAGCGGCTGCGGACAGCTTCACAGTGCGGCGCTCAACCACCTGCGCCACCAGGGAGGCCTTCTAGGTGCTTTTTTAAAAGAAATGTGGTAAATATGGTAACCTAAGTGCTTTTCTGTATTAACTCATTTCATGTTCACAACCATCTATTTTATAGGTGAGGAAACTTAAAGTTTTGTACCAAGTTCAAGGTCATTTAACTGCTCAAAGTCATTCAGCAAATGAGGCAGCCTGGTTTGAGGCCCCACTGCCAAACTGCCAAACCAAAAGACAGTCCTTCTTTTCCCATGAGCCCATTTTTAGAGGCTAACTCCTGTTCCTCACCAGGGTGCCTGTGAGAAGGAGAATTGCTTAGGATAGGTTAGGCGGGACGTGTTTAAGACTGGGTTTGAGCAGTAATTCCTCTGCCCACCTGTGAAGGCAGGTGCTTCTTTCACCAACTCTCCTTTGCAGGGCAGCAGCCTTCCTGCCTGCCCATGACCTGTACCATGCAGGGACTTCTCTTCACTGACCTCCCTCAGCAGAGGCAGCTCTCTTCAAAGCTGCCTGCCTGCAACCATGCAGGCCTCTCTCAGCAAACCTGTCCCTTTCAGGGCAGCTCTTCTTGCCTGCTTGTGTCTATGCGAGTGTCTTTTACTGTCCTATCCCTCTCTCTAATAAACCTGCTCTTTAAATATTAAAAAAAAAAAAAAAAAGACTGGTCCTCCCTGGTTGCGCAGGGGGTTGGGCACCGCACTATGAAGCAGTCCGCAGCCTCTGCAGCATGAGTTTGATCCCCGGCCAGGGAGCAACCCACATGGCGCAGCAGGCCTCTCCTGTCTCACCTGCTGCTCCCCTCAGCAGTGTATTTCAGTCAGTCTGCCTGTTCTGCTCCCCACTCTGTCTCTGGTGAATCCACTCCAAAATAAACAATAAGAAAAGGCATCTCTGGCCTGTACCCCACTCTTGTATGCATAAATAAATACATCTTTGAAAAAACAAAAAGGACTGGGTTTGAAGTCCCAAAGTTTTCCTATTGGTAACTCAATTGTCTACTTACACTCCCCCAGTTGCCAACTCTCCAGGTGGCCGAGACGGGGCACTCCCTCAGGTAGCAGGGGTGGACGCTGGGAGGCTGCGTGCCCGGACAGTTGATGGTGGTTTGGTAGCTGTACTCATAATTTTCCTTCCCGGTGTAAATCTCACTACAGGAGACCAGCCTTTGTTTGTAGCCCTTTCCACAGGTCACCGAGCACTGAGAAGGAAGCGGGTGAAAGCAGAGGTTGCAGCGCTGCCTGGGGGGAGCCCCCAACAGGCCCCTGACTTCCACAGCCAGCGCTGACCCCTGGGCACTGCTGCACAGTGCTCACTTCATTAGCTTATTTATGCAATTCAAGCATCGGCCCCCAGAGCGCTGGAGACCTGAACCCTGTATGACCAATGCCTTCTGGGCGGGAGTGCTGCCATGACTTCTTTTCCGGGTGGGGGTGCCTTCTCCGGGCTTCGGGGGGGCTGGGGTGGTGCTCCAGCTGTCATGGGTCCAACTGACAGCAAGCACAGCGGGACTCACTGGCTGACAAATCATGCATTGCTAAACCTACAATGACTGCAGGAGAGACGTGAGCAAGCTGGATGTGAAGAGTTTGAAGAGTTGAGTGTGAAATCCAAGTTCTTGGCCAAGAGAGGACTCAGGACAGCCCTTCCCTACTCTCTGATTCTCTGGGGTTTGCTTTCCCATCTGTCCTCCACTTACTTCCTTCTACTCTGGCTATGGACCTAGCTCAACTTTCTGCTTCTCTCTCTCTCCCACTACCCCCAACCCCAAAGCTTTTAACCCCTTTCCTATAATTACACAGTATTACAGAAATAAACAATAAGAAAAGGAGAAGGAACAAATATCTTATTAGTGTCTCAGTTCCCTTTTGGGGTGAGACATTAACTGGTTATTTATAAGATTTTACAGCATGGTCAGCCTCCTTAATATTTATAAAATATTTTAAAAATAAAACTGAATCACAATGAATTTACTTTTGATGATTTTTTTTAAGGCAATGGCATCCAATAACTGGCCATTTCCTATAAGTTGCTACGTAAAATTAAGGTAGAGAATCAGAATCCCTAAATCAGAGGTTCTTTGGGGAGGGCCAGGCACCCCCACAGTGTGTAGCATGTGTTATGTTCTTGCTGGGAACACAGCTTCTATCCATTCTCAATGTCTATGAAAGGCTATAGTGTCACATTTTCTAATGTCACCTGAGCTGTTGCTTTAAACCATGTGGGCTCCTCTCCTGTAATTTTTCCAGGGAGAAGGCTCTCCTGCAAGAGCTCCGAAGGCAGGAAGGCGCAGGCACAGCCACAGGCATGCACAGCACCCCGGCGCTCCCCTTCCAGCTGGTTGCAGAACTGGAAATGCTCTGTGACGTCTCTTCCTTTGGTTGCCGACGTTCAAATGCTTGGAGACCCAGCTGACGCTGGGCCAGGGGTGTGAGGCTAGCCCAGAGTGGTTCAGGTGTGGACAGATGGCCAACAAATGCTGTCTGTCCCAGGGGTGGATATTTCAGAGTGTTTAATCTAGCGCCTGCATGCACTGACTTCAGTGTGAACTAATTTAAACCAGGCTATATATCTGAAGGCCAGAGCTGAGTTCCTTTAACCCCACAACCAGGAACAAAAGATTTGTGTTGGGGATGCAGTGAGAGATGGGCATTTACTGATTGAACTGAGCCCCAAATATGGGCAGATTTTATTCCCAGGCCTCTCCCTCTCAAATAAGCTAAAACAGAATATGTTCTTTTTTTTTTTTATTTTTTTTATTTTTTAATGTGAATTTAATGGTGAATATACCTTTTTAATACAGGTAGCACCCTTTATATATCTAATGCTACAGTTCCAATTTTCAATTAATGTTTGCCTTTAGTATTTGCTGCATCATGTCTTTTTTTTTTTTTTTTTTTTTATAAATTTTATGTTATATTCCCCATACAATTGCCGCCCCCATTCTGACCCCATCCCTCCCGCCGCCCCCTAAAAGTGTCTCTGGTTCATAGTTTTGTTGATTTTGATTTTCACTTTCTTATAGTTTTTCATTTTCCTGGTCCATTATTTAAGTTTTCTAGATTCCTGCTATGAGTGAGACCATCCGGTATTTTTCTTTTTCTTTTTGGCTTATTTCGCTGAGCATGATCCCTTCCAGCGCCATCCATGTTGCAGCAAATTGCATGTGTTTATCTTTTTTGAATGCTGAGTAATATTCCATGGTATATATGTACCACATCTTCTTGATCCAGTCATCTATTTTTGGGCATTTGGGTTGTTTCCAAAGCTTAGCTATTGTAAACAGTGCTGCTATAAACATAGGGGTGCAGGTGTTCTTTGGAATTGATGTAAAACAGAATATGTTCTTAGGTAGCTGTCAAATGCATCACAAAAATGTTGGCTCCTTAATCCATTTTGCACCAGTTTTGAGTGTAAGAGGCTCAGTCCTGGGGAGGGGGGGCAGGTGTCACTGCTGACTCTCCATGTCCCACTGTCATGCTTGTCTTATCATAGTGAGGAGTACTTTTCTAAACAGTAAAACAAAATGGCAAAATAAGAATATGGGCTCCCTGCATTAGCGATGTACTTTGGGCCCAAACCAGGACATTTTCCCAAGCTGGGAAATTCATGTATCAGTCAAGGGGCAACAAACCCTTTTTTCCCCTCTGGTCCAGACCTCCTCAATTCAGGTGGGGGGAGCGCAGAGACAGCACAAAGAGCCTTAAGATCAGTTTTCATACAGAAACACCTCAACATACAACACACATATCATCTAAATGTAAATATTCATCCCATTCAAAGATGAACTTGCTGTCCTGTCAAACTTTGAAGAGACCTTAGTAACAGTACGAACCTTTGCTGAAAAGCAGCTAAATTCCTTTTAGGTGGGTATTTTGATGTTACAAGTCTTTCAGTATTTGAATAAAATACAGGATTTGAAAATAATATAATCATGCAGTTATGACATGGTTTATTATAATAAGTGTCTAGGGAGGTACTAAATGCAGGAAGAAATGAGAAAAAATAGACATTTGTTTTGTTCCTCTGAAACAGAGGTTGTTAAATAGGTAACTTACATCTGATCCGTGAAAGTGTTTGGCTTGCCCCATGCAATGTTTTAAACAAAAACTGAGGCCACCCTTTAAAATTAGTGGAGCTCACTTAACTGTCTAGATTTTTGTCCTCTTGAAAAAAGTAGTTTGGTAACACTGGACCCATAGTTCTGCATGGCCTCAGTAAAAGAGCCTGCTTCCTTTACACAGCACATGCTAGTTTGTCATAGTCTTCACCCTCCTCTATTGTCTCCTTCTCATGAAGCTATTTTCTTATTCTTACATTTCTTCAGGCATTGGCAGGCATCATATAAAAATGCAGACTCTTCTAATTCCTTCCTTATACCAATAAGATATCAGAATGAAATACAGAATGTGGAATTGATGGGGGCTCAGCAACATCTCAAGCAGATCCCCAGATCTGCATATATGGGACTCTGGTCCAGGAAGACCAGGGATTTGTCTGAAACTCACAACTCACAACTCACAGTGGCATAACCAGCAGGTGGGTCCAGCCCTACCACATTCCTGCCCTTGTCAGTCTGTTGCACTCAGACCATTGCTTACTGAAGACAGTTACCAAATCCCCAGTCAGTACCTCTGACCACTCTCCTGTGATCCAGACGTACTCGCAGGGCTGCAAACTACAGATCTCACGCTCCGCAGGCCGCTGGCTCAAGTCGCAGTGCATGCCGTGAACCTCGCTGCCTTTGTCCTCATCCACACACACCACCTTGCGGTACCTGGATCCTTCGCCACAAGTCTTGGTGCACTGTGAGAGACAAACCAGACTGGTGTGGATATGAAAGACAATAGGTGACACATTATACTGTTAGTATAGTTATTTGTTTTCCTTCTCTATACCCTTTGAAACTGTGAGATCCCTGAGGGCAGGAATTGTCAGAGAACTCGTTATATTATCCCAGCTACCTACCAATGCTGCCCGTGGCATAGTGATCATCATTCAGCGAGCAACTCTGTCATGGGCAGAGTAGGAGTGGGAATGAATGGATTTTAGCTTCAGAAAGGACCTTAGAGCCTGTTTACTTCAAATACCCTTTCAAACATTGAACCTCTTCAAAATGCATGGCTGGATGGTTATCAGACTGGACTAAATACCTCGAGAGCCAGGGGAGTCATTACTTCCATGTTGCTCATTTCTTCCTGTAACACAGAACTAAACAGATCTCTGCAAATTCTAGCCTCTTGTCATGGCTGAACATTCCAGAGGAACATAACAGACATGTTTCCTTTCTCACTAGTAAAGTCCTGCCTGGGACATGCAGAGAGCTTTCTTGTGGCTCCTACTGTCTTTTCTTCCCTAGAGTGAATTGCTCTCATTCTCCCATTCCCCAAGATCTTAATAGGCATCAGGCCCTGTGATGGTTTCCTGGGTCAAGAGTGGACGTGAAGGGCACAGTTGCAGCTTTTCAAGAGAAGCAAATGTTTTAGAGGCAAAGGCAGACATTAAAGAAGTAACCAGCTCAGTAGTGAGATTTAGCAGATACAATAATCTCCATTTTTCAGATGACAAAACTGTAATTTATTTATTTTTAAAGATTTATTTATTTATGCAAATGAGAACTGGGGTACAGGTCAGATGTGTGGGGGTTGAGAGGATTCATCAGAGACAGAGTGAGGAATAGAACAGGCAGACTGACTGAAATACACTGCTGAGGGGAGCAGCGGGTGAGATAGGAGAGGTCTGCTGCACCATGTGGGTAGCTCCCTGGCTGGGGATTGAACTCGTGCTGCAGTGGCTGCAGACAGCTTTATAGGTTGTGTCTTAATCCCTTGCACCACTAGGGAGGCCCCAAAACTGGAATTTAGAGAGACTAAATGACTTGCTCCAGTCCATGCATCTCTTCGTGAGGGAGAGGGGAGAGATAATGTTCTTCCCATAAACCGAATTAATGAAATAGGGTATGTGGCATGTTTCATTCATCTCTGTGCTGTCTAGAAATGCCTTATCTTTTTGACTTAAATCCACAGCAACCTCCATGTTGTAAGTTCTACCATCTGTGTGGCTAAAGGCTTCCAAAAGCCCCTGCTATCTAAAGCCTGTGTGTCGGGCCTCCCCTGATGGCGCGGCCTCTGCAGTGCCGGTTCAATCCCCGCCCGCTGGGTGAGGGTCCCATATGGCACGCAGACCTCTCCTGCCGCCCGCTGCTCCTCTCAGCAGTGTATTTCTCAGTCTGCCTGTTCTGTTCCCCGCTCTGGCTCTGGTGAATTCTCTCACCCTCCCGCGCTTCTGACTGTACACAGTGCTTGTATAAATAAATAAATAAATCCTTAATAAATAAATAAATAAATAAAGCCTGTGTGTCATCCAGCATTTCCAGACTCAACTACTCTGGAATACCTTGGTAAGCTACCCCAGCCCTGTGCCGAAGATGGCTCCTGTGTTCTTCCCACTCCAACCATGTTGCCTCCAGGCCTTCTCCAGCTACTGTGAGTGGCTGCTGCTCTTATCCACATATTCCCTCTAAGGGTCTGCTGAGGGAGGGTTATAGGCCCCCACCTCGTTTGCTCACAGGTCTCCTTTGATTTTATGACCTACCTTGCACCAAAGCCATCTGTTTGGGTGCAGGCTTGACTCAGAAATCTCTTTCCTGATGTGCCCAAGCTATTTATTTATTTAATTATTTTTTGGTAATAAAATACACACTGGACAAAATTTACCATATTAACCATTGTCAAGTGTATGATTCAATGGTGTTAGTCATTCACAGTGTTGAGCCATCACCCCCATGGTCTAGTTCTAAAATATGGTCATTATGCCTTAAGGAAATTCCATGCCCCCACAGGATTGCTCCTTATTTCTCCTCACCCAGCCTGTAGCAACCACCAATCTGTTTCCTGTTTCTATGGATTAACCTATTCTGGGCATTTCATAAAAATGGAATGAGCCAAGATGTGGTCTGTGTGACTGGATTGATTTTCAAGGAGCATCCAGGTGGCAGTGTGGACTAGTATGTCACTCCTTTTCATGGCCGAATAAGAGTCCACTGTACAGACAGGCCATATTTTGTCAATTTCAATGTTGCTGGACAAGGGTTGTTTTCATTGTTTGGGTACTATGGATAGTGCTGCTATGACCAGGCACATTTGATTTCAGTTCTTTTTGGTCCATCCCTGACTGTGGAAATGCTGGCTTTTCTGGTGTGCCTTCTGCATTTTTGTCACTTCGTCCTTTTAGGAGTAGAAACACCATGCTGGTATGTCATTTGCAAACTTAACTGAACATTTCTGCTGTCTGGAAGCAAACCTCAATATCTAGAATATGGAGTCATTTGCAATTTTTCTGGGGTACAAACAGATATTGAAAGCACAGTGAGGTGAGCACAGAGGAACAAATCACTTCAAAATAGTGCATGAGGTTGCCTGTATCTGACTCCCTAGCTAAATCCCAGGTCAGTGATTTAGGGGTTTTCTGTTCCCCTAGAGTATGCCAGGACCAATAGTGAAGTAATGCTTTGTTTCTTCATTTAAGAAAGTGTCCAATCAGTGAGGGAGCTGCTTAATGTTAAAACACAAAATGAAACAAAAATAAGGGCTGATCTGTGATGTGTAGCTCTATGCAGAAGAAATATTTAACTTCCCATAGAAAAAGTAATTCCTTAGAAAAGCAGGACTTAGGTGACTCAGAAAAGATAATGATTATTGGGAAGCTAAAACCTGAACTAAACCTTCCAGTGTCCTCTCTCATTTTCCCTAAGCCCTGGGGATTTCATCTGTGTCAATAAGTAACAGTTTAGAGGAGAAATGCAGGGACCTTTAAATGCTTTCTGCTTTCTGTGTGTTTCTCCTTGGTCTTCAAGAATGGTTAACTACCGTAAAAACCACTTTGCCAATGGTGGAAAATGGAGCTGGGAAATCATACCTTGAAAACAACTTTAAGAAAGTTAAACTAAGTAAATAAGTGACTTACCCAATGTTCTGGAATTAGTCAATAGTAGCTGAGTCCTTTTCTTTTGGAGTCCTAAACCCTAACCAGACCATGGGGTTGGATAATCACAAAACAAACCCAGCCTGTGCTATAGGATTTTATTGGCTTTAGTGACATAATTTCCTCCACATCTCTAGGATTTATGAGTCTTCCCTCTTCCCAGGAATATGACCTAGAAAATTCTGAAAAATAGCTGAAAGTTCAACTAGCTTCATTTTTTAAAAAAGATTATATATACAAGAACTGGGGTACAGTCCAGAGGTGCGGGAGATGAAAGGATTCACCAGAGACGGAGTGGGGAACAGAACAGGAGGAATGACTGAAACACACTGCTGAGGGGGTCAGAGGGAGAGTCAGGAGAGGTCTGCACTGTGCCATGTGGGTAGCTCCCTGGCTGGGGATCGAACTCATGCTGCAGTGGCTGAGGATAGCTTCATAGGTTGCATCTTAACCCCTTGCACCACCAGGGAGGCCCATAATTAGCTTCATTTTAATTTCCAAAAGGTTTTATTAAATTTCATTATACCTTCTAGAAAAAAACTCCAGCAAGTATAAGTCACATCCCCAGCTTCCTTGAATTTTCGCACATGCTATAATTCAGAAAGCAAATAATTACAGTGCTGGGCTAATCTGGGGAGCATGCCCATCACCCCACTGGCTTCATGCTCCTTTTGACTAGCTGAAATGAACAGGAGGTAAATAATTTCCAAATTCAAGGGTGAGAAGAAACTAAAATAAACTTTTAAGGTACCGTTTTTAGTAGTCAGGTAGGCTAGCCACAGGGTGAATGTCTAAAAAGCAGGCATTAAGGCAATGGGATAGAACTTATTTTTCTTTAAAGACTGTAATCAGTTTGCTTTATACTTTTTTCTGGTATAAAGTCAAACCAGCTGGGGGGCAGGGGGAGGAGAAACTCACTTCTTATTTACATGCTCTAACTTTGAAGGTTGCCGATTTTTTCCACGATGAGAGAATTTAGTCATGGTGTTTCTAGTGCCCAGCCACCATCGTGGACAGTGCATGGACAGGGCACAGATGGAAGGGGCAGCCTCAGTGCTCCGCGTGTGCTCCACACAGGCTGGCTGTCTGATAATAGGGGGCGGCTATTACAAGTCATCCTCTCTTGCACTGCTTTCAATTACAGAAAGAGCAGCTTAAGTTATGGATTCTATTCTCAAAGCTCATTTTCAGTCAGGCATGTGGATTTGGACATGTTCACTCTTTAAAAAGAGTATATCTGTGAGGGAGAAAGGCAGACTCCAGGGTCACTTCCAACCAAGCACCTTCCCATGAAAGGCACAGACCCAGTGACACCTTCATGGCCCTCAGCCCCTGAACAGGACAGGACATGCTCCCCAACCCCCACGGCCAGGCACAACTCTAAAGTCATTCACTCATTCAACTAGTACATTCAGTGGGTCCACTTCTGGGGTGGGTGCTGCGGCCCAGGCCTGGCCTCTCCCTACTCACCCCCTCTTCCTGTTAAAGCACAGGGGTGGCTGCTCCCTCAGCGTTGAGCCTCATGGGTCAGGGCAGTGGGTGAGCGGGGAGCAGTGGGATGAATATGTTGGCCACACTGTGGCTGTGTGAGCAGATGTGGGTTTGGTGACAGAGTGTGTTGGAGTAAGATGGCCCCAGGGCTTCTGGAACAGTGACTCAATAGAAGAGAAGGGCCAGTGGTGGGAATCCCCACCATGAGGAAAAGGAGTGCCCTGGTTGAGGCAGATGAGGAACAGGAACAAAGGAGGAGAGGCGTTAACTAAGCAAGGAGGGAAGAGGGTGGCAGGGAGCGGTTCCACTTGCATGGAGGCTGGAAGAGCATG